TTAAAGTCCATTTGGTCTGATATGAGAATTGCTACTCCAGCTGTCTTTTGATTTCCATTTGCATGGAATATCTTTTTTTCATCCCCTCACTTTCACTCTGCATGTGTCTCTAGGTCTGAAGTGGGTCTCCTGTGGACAGCATATGTACAGGTGCTATTTTTGTATCCATTCAACCAGTCTATGTCTTTTGGTTGGAGCATTTAATCCATTTACAGTTAAGGTAATTATCAATATGTATGTTCCTATTCCCATTTTCTTAATTGTTTTGGGTTTGTTATTGTAGGTCTTTTCCTTCTCTTGTGTTTCCTGTCTTAGTAAGTTCCTTTAGCATTTGTTGTAAAGCTGGTTTGGTTCTGCTGAATTCTCTTAGCTTTTGCTTATCTGTAAAGGTTTAAATTTCTCCGTCAAATCTGAATGAGATTCTTGCTGGGTAGAGTAATCTTGGTTGTAGGTTTTTCCCTTTCATCACTTTAAATATGTCCTGCCACTCCCTTCTGGCTTGTAGAGTTTCTGCTGAAAGATCAGCTGTTAACCTTATGGGGATTCCCTTGTATGCTATTTGTTGCTTTTCCCTTCCTGCTTTTAATATTTTTTCTTTGTATTTACTTTTTGATAGTTTGATTAATATGTGTCTTGGTGTGTTTCTCCTTGGATTTATCCTGTATGGGACTCTCTGCACTTCCTGGACTTGATTAACTACTTCCTTTCCCATATAAGGGAAGTTTTTAACTGTAATCTCTTCAAATATTTTCTCAGTCCCTTTCTTTCTCTCTTCTTCTTCTGGGACCCCTATAATTCAACTATTGGTGCATTTAATGTTGTCCCAGAAGTCTCTGAGACTGTTCTCAATTGTTTTCATTCTTTTCTCTTTATCCTGCTCTGCAGTAGTTATTTCCAGTATTTTATCTTGGAGGTCACTTATCTTTTCTTCTGCCTCAGTTATTCTGCTATTGATTCCTTCTAGAGAATTTTTAATTTCATTTATTGTGTTGTTCATCATTGTTTGTTTGCTCTTTAGTTCTTCTAGGTCTTTGTTAAACATTTCTTGTATTTTCTCTATTCTATTTCCAAGATTTTGGATGATCTTTACTATCATTACTCTGAATTATTTATCAGGTAAACTGCTTATTTCCACTTCATTTGTTTCATCTGGTGGGTTTTTTACTTTGCTCCTTCATCTGCTGTGTATTTCTCTATCTTCTCATTTTGCTTAACTTTCTGTTTGCAGTCTCCTTTTCTTGGGCTGCAGGTTCATAGTTCCCTTTGTGTTTGGTGTCTGCCCCAAGTGGGTAAGGTTGGTTCAGTGGGTTGTGTAGGCCTCCTGGAGGAGTGGACTGGTGCCTGTGTTCTGGTGGATGAGGCTGGATCTTGTCTTTTTGGTGGGCAGGACCGTGTCTAGTGGTGTGTTTTGGGGTGTCTGTGAACTTATTATGATTTTAGGCAGCCTCTCTGCTAATGGGTGGGGTTGTGTTCCTGTCCTGCTAGTTGTTTGGCATAGGGTGTCCAGCACTGGAGCTTGCTGGTCATTAAGTGGAGCTCGGTCTTACCATTGAGATGGAGATCTCTGGATGAGCTCTCATCGATTGATATTACGTGTAGCCAGGAGGTCTCTGGTGGTGCAATGTCCTTAACTCAGCCCTCCCACCTCAGAAGCTCAGGCCCGACACCCGGCCAGAGTACCAAGAGCCTGTCAGCCACACGGCTCAGAAGAAAAGGGAGGAAAAAAAAAGGAATAAAATAAAAGTTATTAAAATAAAAAACTAAAGTAATTTTAAAAAAAGGAAGAGAGCAACCAAACCAATAAACAAATCCACCAATGATAACAAGTGCTAAAAACTATACTCAGATAAACATAAAAATCAGAAACTAGTCTGTCGCATTCAGCAAACCCCAAGTCTACAGTTGCTCCGAAAGTCCACAGCCTCAATTTTGGGATGATCCGTTGTGTATTCACATATTCCACTGATGCAGGGTACCTCAAGGTGATCGTGGAGATTTAATCAGTTGCTCCTTAGGCTGCACGGAGAAATTTCCCTTTCTCTCTTCTTTGTTCGCACAGCTCCCGGGGTTCAGCTTTGGATTTGGCCCCGCCTCTGCATGTAGGTCGCCCTCTAATGTCTGTTCTTAGCCCAGACAGAAGTGGGTTAAAAGAGCAGCTGGTTAAGGGGCTGTGGCTCACTCAGGCTGGGGGGAGGGAGGGGTACGGAGTGCAGGGTGAGCCTGTGGCAGCAGAGGCTGGCGTGACATTGCAACAGCCTGAGGCGCACCGTGTGTTCTCCTGGGGAAGTCGTCCCTGGATCACGGGACTCTGGCAGTAGCGGACTGCACAGGCTCCCGGGACAGCAGATGTGGATAGTGACCAGTGCTTGCACACAGGACTCTTGGTGGCTGCAGGACCATCCTTAGCATTTCATGCCCGTTTGTGGTGTCCGCGCTGATAGCCATGGCTCGCGCCCCATCTCTGAAGCTCATTTAGGCGGTGTTCTGAATCTCCTCTCCTCATGCACCCTGAAACACTTGTTTCTTGCCTCTTAGGCAGTTCCAGAGTTTTTCCTGGACTCCCTCCCAGCTAGCTGTGGCGCACTAGCCCCCTTCAGGCTTTGTTCACATAGCCAACCCCAGTCCTCTCCTTGGGATCTGACCTCCAAAGCCCCAGCCTCAGCTCCCAGCCCCACGTGCCCTGGCGGGTGAGCAGACAAGCCTCTCGGGCTGGTGAGTGCTGGTCGGCACTGATCCTCTGTGCGGGCATCTCTCTGCTTTGCCCTCTGCACCCCAGTTGCTGTACTCTCCTCCGTGGCTTGAAGCTTCCCCCCACACACACACCCTGTCTCCGCCAGTGAAGGGGCTTCTTAGTGTGTGGAAACTTTTCCTCCTTCACAGCTCCCTCCCAGAAGTGCAGTTCCCATCATTATTCTTTTGTCTCTGTTTCTTCTTTTTTCTTTTGCCTACCCATGTACGTGGGGGAGTTTTTTGCCTTTTGGGAGGTCTGAGGTCTTCTGCCAGCGTTCAGTAGGTGTCTGTAGGAGTTGTTCCACATGTAGATGTATTTCTAATGTATTTGTGGGGAGGAAGGTGATCTCCATGTCTTACTCCTCCACCATCTTGAAGGTCCTCCTCAGGAGTCAACCAACCTGTCCTCTTCATTGGCTTTTGAGCGGCGAGCAGCCGGACCCCACTTTCATTTACAACCTGACTGGCACAGACTGTCAGTAAATGTTTTAATGAGAATGGAAAATACGAACGATGTGAAACCATGTCTTATATTACTGCCAAACACTCTGAGTCCTGGGTGCTATATGCTGCCTGTCTTTTTCTACAAGGAACTTGAGCACTGCTGCCAGCTTCTACAGAAAGCAATGGGAAGGGGGTGGGGGGTCCAAAGTCTGCTGGACTGGAAGTTTTAAGGACTGTGTTCCATTTGTGATTCTGCTACTAACTCCCAAGTCAACCTGGTCACTTCACCTCACACCCCTGCAACCCCCTTTGAATATCTTCTGTAAATTGTTTAGACCTTCTCCAAGATAATGGCCATATGCATTGAGTCCTAAATATAGGTATAATTATCCAACGCATAGTTACTGCCATTTAAACAGTTACTCTGCTTGTCAGAATCCATCCTAAAGAAATAATCAGACAGGCTTTCAAAGGTTTATGCACTAGCTATTTAAAGCGGCACTACACTATTTTTAGCAGCAATCTGAGTACCAGTGAATAGAAAATTGGTTAAAAGACAATGTCATATCCATAAAATTTAATATTTACAGCCATTAAACGTCATGTTTATAAAGAATATTTAGAGCCATGTAATGTTTAGAATATAACATTATTTTGGAAAAAGCAAAGTATAAAATTACGTATGAAACAAATATGTATATATACATATATATATATATATATATATATATTCATCCCTATTTTGCTAACATACGTGCATGATTATCCATATAGCTGGAAGGAAACTTAACGAAATATGAATGATAGACTTATTGGTGATTTTTGTTCTTTATGCTTTTCTAAATTCTCTACAATATACATATACTGACTTAAAAATTGGTGAAAATTAATGTATAATTATTTTGGAAATCTTTTAGGATTTACTATTTATTTTTATTTACTTTTGGCATTTTGAAATTTTACATAATATACTTTGTTTAAGTCACTAAGTAATTTCTGACACCTAGATACTCATGCACTTGATTTTCCAGAAGCATTGTTACTATTATTAAGACTTTTTACAATTACTGTTTTGTTCTTTTTGTCTCATTGTTCTGCTTTCTGGAAGATTTCCTCAGCTTGCTTTTCCAAGTCTTCCATTGAGAGTATTTTATTAGTCGATTTCCAGGAGATGTTTAGATCTATTTATCTACTTTTTTAAGAAATGTGACAGCTTCCTAAAACATAAATATACAGCTTGATCAATTAAGTTGATTTCTCGTAACAATCTCATGGCAGCTTCCTGAGAATTATTGGAAAATTTACTACCCAGCACTTCCCACCCACCAGTGCACCACATTGGAAGTGTTTAAACAGCACTGGAATTGTAGGTTGCATATAGACGTGCAAGCCCTAACATGCCCAGGCCTCAGCAATAACCTAGGTGTTTTGTGAAACAGGTAATAGATGGCCTGTGGGGAGCAGAAATTCTTAAATTGTATTATTGTTGGAAGACCCTTTCGTTGAGGTAAACTTCACTTGGGGAAAGCTGGGAGGCAGGAAAAAGTGACTTGTTTCTGCTGCTCCCTAATAATCCCTTTCCCCCCCACCCCACATCAAATGACCATCTTTATTTCAGAAAGTTGGGTTAGGAAGAACTCAAAGGAAATACAGAAAATGTGACAATGAGGAAAGGTGGGAGTTTGTTTTTGTTGTTCTTACCAAAAACAAAACAAAAAAAAAAAAAACTCTTAGCTTTGGTCTGTTTAGACTAAGTCTAACCAGTAGAGTTGTTTGGAAATATCTTTCTGTTGATCAGTGTCTGAATTCCAGATCTTTGTCAGCAGCAGTTTTCCTGAGTCAGAAGTCATACTGACTGGTGGCAGCCTCCTTCAGCCAGTGAGCCTCGGAGACGAGATGCTTATCTAGACAGCTGGGATTATCTTCGCCAGGTAAGGCATACTGTTGCACAAATTGGCTTATGCTATAGGGAACAGAGACACAAGGAAGATCAGAGGCCCCCCAGACTTGCCTGTTAGATTTCTTGAAGCTGATAATTCCATGATAAATTCCAAAAATAAAATGGCACGAGGACCTCCAGAAGTCTCAGGAAGATCAGGGCCATATACATCTAAAACTCTAGGCCCCATAGGGCAAGTGTTAGGTTTTTTGCTGCGGCTTCCTCCATTTGATGAAACAGTACTTCAGCCAAGCCTTTACCACTGACTCATTAAAGCTGAGTTCCTCTGAGGTAATTCAATCTGGGCATATGGTCTTGCTAAACACATCTTCCAACAGTCTCAGCTGTTCTGGGATAGAGTCTGTGCATCTTCAACGAGCACACCTTGGCTTTGCCGACTTGAGATCTTTTGGGAAGGCAGTATTTCAATCAGCTGAATCCCCTGAACCAGTGCCTCCTTGGTCACTCTTAGCACCTCAGTTTATTATTTGTTATTTTAATAAAAGGTTTTACATTTTGTGAATTCTCTTCCATTTAGGAAAATTTTACATTGCTAGGAGCTTTTCTTGAGTCATTTTTAAAGGAGCTCCCTTGGAAAATATCCATCAGACAAGCAAGGCCCTGAAGCTTCCCCATCTCCTGCCCCATGGGGGTCGTGGCCTCTCTGCTCCATGGCCCAGTCTTCCAAGCTCCTGGTATGCAAGGCTGGCATTCTTTCCTACTAAAACCAACTCCTGAGGCTCAGCCTGGGGGATTAGACAGCCCCTTGCCCTCTAGAGTAATGGGCCAAATAAATAATAATTGAAGATGAAAGGGATTTTCACAGTTTCAACTAAGGCTAAGAAGATTACATGTATTCTAACCCCAATCACAGTGGTAGCTTTATGGCATCTGGGTTCACAGTGAGGTCACAAGTCACTGGCAGTAAATAGGGGCCTTGGAAGAATAAGAGTTATGTATCAATGTGCATTGTCTGCTGTTTGCTAATTAGCTAGTGCCGCCTGGCATTTATTATACAGACAAGTTAGCAAAACTAGGAAAAACAAGATTTGGAACACTGGGCTGACAAGCATTATTAAAAAGGTTATATTTATGGGTCCCAGCAAGGAAAGTAATGGTCATTTCAGCCGAAAGAAGGAAACATACATAACAGATCCCTGGGGCATACTAAGTTGGGAGGCCAGTGGTAACTCTCAACTTTGCATTCATGTTTCTTCAAATTCCACTGAAAAAGACAAATTACTGGGTCTAGTCTCAGCTCTATAACTCACTTGGAGTGTGACCTTGAGCTATCATTGGATCTCTCTGAGCCTCAGATGCTTTAGCAGTAAAATGTGATGAATATTATCATCCTCCCTGGCTGTAAAAATCAAATCAGATAAATGACTAAGCAATCGTTTAGGAAATTGAAGAGATCTCTATACAAAAGTAAGTTATAACTTCTTGGTACTCCTATTGCCCATACTATAAGAGGAAAAGAACTCTGCTATAAGACTGAATACCAATACTCTACTGTAAAACTAATTATAAGGCTTACGCTATAGGGCTAAAAGAACTCTATAGCTCATACGGTAAACCTAAAGGACAAAAAGAATTCAACTTCCTCTAAGAAAGCATCACTGAACTCTGCCAACTAGAATTGATTCCCCAGCCCCTCTGTAAGTCTAAAACACATGCTGCTTTTGCCTCAAGCAGACCTAAGTTTGAACTGTGGCTCTACCACTTGCTACCTGTATAATCGTGGGGAAGTCACTTAACAATGTGTCTTGGAGATTTTTTCATGTCTGTATCCAGTATGTAATTCAAGCCCATTCTTTTTTATGGTTGACTAGTACCATTATTGCCATTTATTTATGAAGAAACCCAGCCTGAGAGGCTAGATCCCTTTTCCAAAAATATAGTACATGTAAATACTTGAACTGGGATTTAAACCCAGAACCGTCTAGATCTGAAGTATTCATCCTTTCCATTAAGCAATGATGCAAAATCAAAACTTAAGAGCACAGAGCAGACATTTGGTACGTGCAGGCAGAGGATACTGGTTCAGTTTGACCCGGGAGCCAAACCACCTGGGTTCATTCTGCTGCTGCCATTTATTAGCTGTGTGACCATGGGCAAGACACTTAACTTCTCTGTGCCTCAGTTTCTTCCCCTGTAAAATGGAGATAAAAATAATGCTAGTTTATATGGTTGTTCTGAGTACTACATTAATGCATTAAAGTAGTAGGTGCTCAAAAAATATGAACTATTATTGCTTAATAGTAATAATTTTCTGAACTTCTCTTCACAAATCTGTAACATACTACTGTCCACCTTTTGAAGGAACAAAATATAATTACCAAAAAGAAAATTTATTTTTGGAGAGTTACTAGCAAATCATAAATGCTTCTGCTAATACATATATTAAATGTTGAATTTTCATTCACAACTCTCTGAGACAAATAGTAGCTATTTTTCTTTTTCTATTATACATTCATATAGGTGCCTTTTTTAGGAAGTTTGGCAAATGTAGAAAGTAGAAAAAATAAATCAGCCATAATTTCATCATCTAACACAATCACTGCCAACATTATATTGCATGTTATTTTATTATTAATTTCTATTTTTGGAATGTATATGTAATATGTAGATATATAAATACAGTTATAACGATACTATATATATACCTTGATTTCTTAATTCTACTTGTTTACATAATGGTGATTTCCTTCATTTCAAACTTTATGAAATACATTTTTTCCAAACAATCAGATCACTGTCCCTTAAAAGTGTATCTAAGATGAAGCTTAGCAAATTATCACTTTTCAACCCAAATAGAGCTCGTTAAATATAACATCACTAGAGTCTTAATGAGGTTTTTTCTTATTTTTAACATATTACGTAGGAAGTGATGTATCACAGGAAATGACATGTTAAGAAAATATCATTTTGTTTCCAAAAGATAATAAAACCTCTGCTTTTTTTTTTCAAAATTAAATAGGGAGCAATAAAAATAGTCTTCTTGAGCTATATAAATTATCTTTCATATATTTTCGGAGTTCATCCAAAATGTGAATTTTACAAAAAATCAATGTGGTGTTTGAACATAATTTTTAGCACATGCAAATTTTCTACATCTAATTATACTTAGTACTTAGCACTCTTTATCTTGAATGCATCAAAGCATTTCACACATTTTAATAAAGACTAAAAGGTTTTTTTTAGTTAAAGATTGAATTTGGGGTGATATTCAACAAATAAATTACACAAAAATATCCTTTATAAAATGCTACATGTAATATATGATAATATATGATATACTCAATTTCTAGAGCACTAAAATGAATACTGTATTTCAAGATGAAGATACAGCAAATAGAATCAAACCTATTTATTTTCATTATTCACCTATTATAATTATTTGTTAAAATGAAATAGATCCAAATAGTAATTTTTTTATCAAGTATGGTCAATTAGATAAATAAACAGCTTTAGAAACTTTGCTAAATCCTCATGCTTTTCTGTCTTCCAATAAAATGTTTTGCATTGCCATTTTTTTTAGTTTTTAGCCCTTTGTGATTATTATTTTGGATGTCTGTTTGCTCTCTACAGTAACCCTCCCATGATATGTCTGGGAAGTAGCAATAGACATCATCCCATCTGGCCAGTGATGTGTTACTTTTAGAGTCAGAAGAAAAAACTATCCATGCAGTAGTCTAGGAAGGAAAGGAAGTACAGATTTCATAAGGGATATTTTTATTTATAGTCTTGATTAGATATTTAAAGGGCATATAATCCAGAGTATTTGTGCTGAGGAGTATCTGTTGGGATTTCAGTTTAATCTTGGAGAGTGGAAATTTTGCCATTAGCATGTTTACCTGCAAAAGGTAGTTAGGAAATTAGGGTGTTGGAAAAGAAGGAAGGAAAACAGAAAATTAGGAAGAGAAGGTAAAAGAAAATAGAGGGAAGGTGAGAGAGAAGAAAGAAAAAAAAGAGGAAAAAAGGGAGGGTTCATTATACTCCTACTCTGTGCCAAGCATTTTCACTAAATCTGTACCATTTAGCTGTTAATCTAACCTTGAAATAACGGTATTATCCACATTTTTACAATGAAGAAATTGAAGCACAGAAAAGGATAGCTTAATTTCATAATTAACACAGTTTGTAAGTAATTAAATTGGAGATTAAACTCAATAGTATCTGACTTCAAAGCCTATATTATTTTTCCCTTAATAGCACTGTACCATTCTAGATATTGCCCGAATGCTCTATGAGCTTTTCTGCTTCCTGATTTATGGAAGTTGCTCAATGTGGCTTTTCTCTACATTGCTGAGTCTGATACACAGTAGACATTCAGTAAACATTTGTCGAATGAATGAATGATTCCCAAAAGCATAAAAAGGAAATGGGAAAATGAGCTTCTCTTCTTATAAAGGAAACAAAGGGAGGCAGACACCAGAAAGTGAAACTATGCTTAGCTCTATTTTGGCCTTGGAAAGTAAGGTTGTTTGAAATTAGTTTAAGACATGAGTTCAGATTGGGTATCACCAAGAAGTGTGACTAGGACTCAGCTGATCTCTCAGCTGGAAAAAGCAAACAGACAAAAAACTGAAGTCAAGTTTGCACCAGAGACTAATCTGTAGATTTTCTTCTGCTCTAGGGAAGTTCAAAGATGTGGTTATAGATTCTGAGACCCTAGTGGAACATCCTATACCACATTTCTACTACAAGATTAACTCTCAAACCTGGAATTAGCCTGCCCCCAAACTCCTGTCTTATGTATTTTGAAGCCTCATCCCTTGGACCAAACTGAATCTCCCAGGATGCAAGCCTGATACATCAGATACTTTATTGGAAACCCAAGCATTAAACATTCTGACTGTGCTTTACACAAATAGATAACAGGAAGTCATCAGGGGGTGTTTGTTAGATGATGTCAATGGAAAATTCAACTGGCGACTGTATGAATTACAATATTTGGCACGGCAAGTAGTAGAAAATACAACTAAAACT